ACGCATTATATTTCATGAAGAGGAGCGTGTGGAGGGGGGCGGGCTGGCCGAAACAGAGCATTGAAGTATCTATTTGTGAAGAAAGCAGCATTGGTGGAGACCAACCAACGCCACACTGCAGAGTAATGGAAGAGGCTGTGACCTGCAGGTGAGTTTGATATGTTGAAATTAACATATGTTCCTCCATGAATGTAGTTACGTAGTGGATAAAAGTGAAATCCCAAGTAGTACTAAATATATTATCATTCGTGAATGAATCATGTGGTGTACTTTGAGCATTAGACGTCATGAGACGGAGCCTTACTAGACGGAACACTTTGAATATATAATGAAAGTAAATTGCTGGAATTGAACATGACGTGTGGAAGGTTGGGTGTGTATATATGAATGCTACGCGGTATTCATCTATAGATGGTGAAATACACATTAAGAACAGCTCCCAGATAAGAGATTAAGCTTAGTTGATAAACCCCCACCCCCCAAAAGTGTCGAAGGTGGACTGGGGCTTAGAATCATAACTCTGTGCATTTCCCCTTTCAAAAGTGGCCCATGAGGCACCCCTCCCCCCCCTCACTCCCAAGCTGTGTTGTTTTTTTGAAGAGTGCATGGCCGTGTACTTGATATTAATGGTGATAAGGAATGTTTATCGTATACGAATGTTCAGAATCCTGAATACAAAATAGTTTCGGAGGTGAAACGCTCGAGTACCCTCGACGTGGGTGACGTTCCATCGTGTAGTGACTCTAGGGACACAACCTCCAGCTGTTGAAGGATCAAGTTTGTCTTCCATACAAGGTACGAAAGAATTAAAATTTGTTGTAAATGTTTATAGTGCCGAATCGTCGAGCATGTAATGTGATGGTTATTAGATATCCAGCGGGTTTTGACGTTATTAATGTTGATTGATATTGAAACTTGAATATATATAATAGAGAAATAGGATGGACTCGCCTAGAAGGCGTCTCGTTACAGAGGGCAGTAAATGTGGTATGGTGATTGAAGGTGATGTAGATGAAATAATGTTTGGGAATTGTTGAGTCAATGAATAGATAGTTGTAGGGAATCATAAGTAAATATTTAAACTAGAAGTACCTAATTTGCTAATAATTTTGTTATTAGATTACACTAGGTACCTAATTAGGAAGGATAGGTTTAAGATAAGTACGTAATATTGAAATTATAAAGTACCTAATTGCATCTTAGTTTGTTAGTTGAGGTTTAAAAATGGAGTGTATGTAGTGTTACCCAATCTTGTAATGATGTACCCAATGCAAAGAAGTTTACCATTGTGATCATTGTTGTCTTATGGTCTTTGAATTTGGTGTATGGTGCCTATTAATGTTTAAATTAGGAATGAAGGTGTCAATGGAATGTGAGCTTTAATATACCAATGTGGTTTATACCTGTACGTATTAATATATCGTTGTTTTATGTGTTTGTTGCACTGTATGAATCATGTTATTAATTCCGTTAGAATTGACGTAGTTAAAATTATCTTAGAATAAGGACCTGGCCGAAAGGGTGCGAGTACTAATTGTCTTAGAAGTGTAAATACCATGCTATGTATTATAACAAACCCAATGTACCTTATTGTATATATAAATGTTATTAGTTTCACATTCTAAGCTATACAATAAGTTTGTAATGTATGGGAAACGTTAGCGAAATGAAGATAAATTGGTAATAGATAATGTAAAGGAGACGTGAATGTAGTGTTAGATCATTGACTGTAATTGACTTACCCTGCTCTAAACGGTGGGTATATAAAATTGTATAATATTGTATATGAGTGACTGACAATGTGTTACGGCTCACAAATTATTTTGGACCCGCATCACGGGTCCAAGTGTCTTGCTGTTACCTTCGTTTGGGTTTAAACTAAGAATTGTTTATCTTCAAAATATTAAAATTTATGCAATGGCCTCGTGCATGTTGTATTAAGAGAAGTCATTAAATAATACAAGAAGGAAGAGTTGTAATAAGTAAGGTAGAATGTTGCATTTCCTGAGTTAGAAGGCCCATGCATTTGACTTTAAGATGATTGTGGTATTGCGTACCAGATTGTGGTATAGACCCAGTTACCACAATGCGTAGCAGATTGTGGTATAGACCCACTTATTACTGCAATTAATGTGGGTGAAGCTGCATGTTATTGACTCTTACTTGTTGTGCAATTGTGAATGTTTAACTACTGTTTGTCATTAAGTTATCAAGTGAGGTAGGCTGTGATAGGCGCGGAGTACGGCCCCCCACCCCCCTTGCCTCAAGATTACTTGCCCTGCATTTACGTTTGGTTAGATCAGCTAACTATTCCCTCAACTTATGCAGCGTCTTGCTGCATGTGTGTTTATTTATTAGTGGTTTACACTTAAAGATATCATTTTGGTTATCGCTTGTAAGTTATTAGGTAAAGTCAGCTAGGTTAGGGTAGCTGGTGTGACACAGGCCTGAGGGCTCTAGGTTAAGGTTTTCATTGAGTTATGGCAAATATAAGTGTCCATAGTTTATTAATGATTTTTATGGAGTGTGAAGCTTGATGTTTCTTAGCTAGTTTGACATTTAAGTTATTATGTAAAGTGAGCTAGGATGTGATAGTTGGATGGATGGGGCCCCTTGCCTGTTGCTTTAAGTTTATTGTGGGGCATTTACGTATAGTTTTGTATGCCAAAATCCTGGATTGTACATCGCTGTTGCTGCATTGTGTACATTACTGGTTTACAATTATGTTTAAGTTATGCTTCACCTTTAAGTTGTCAGGTGGGATGTCCTAGACGGTCTTGGGGCGTCATGCATCTCCCTTGAAGTTTATGTTGGACTCATATTATGATTAGTTCCTTCAGCAATTTATTGCTAGTTGTGCATAGCTTAAGTGCATGTCATTTTACTTCTCGTTTTCCCTTTATACTGATTTTGTTGACTTTGTCATTAAGTACTGACAGGTAGACAGTACCAGTTTCGTTTACCAGTACGAGTAAACGTTTCCAGTCGTTTTGTCTGGTGGGTGTACGGGGGAAGATACTGGTGGTTCCCAGGCCGGTGTTTTATCCAGACGTTTTTGTCTGGCCAATGTAGCCAGGAAAGTTGTCCTAGCCACTGCCGTCTTAGCTGACTGCGTTCAAGGGCTGCTATCCAGTTGCTGTGATGAGTTAAGCCGGCGATGTTATTGAGGTATTATATTTATATTGGTCATATAAATATGCGGTGTTCGAGGGCGCTGGTTTATCCAGACGTGTTGTCTGGGCGGAAGGTTTTGACAGGCACCGACGTCTTAGCTGCCTTCGTTGAGGGGTTTATGTCCGGCTGATGTTCTTCGTGCGACGTGTCACTGTTCTAGCGGCCGATGGTGTGTTGCAGGTGGTCGATCAGTCTGGCCTAGTGTCCGAGCCGGGACTCTTGGTACGTTGTTGGTCAATGTTGGTGTCCCAGCTTGCTGCTGTTCAGGTTGAACCTGGTCCACGTTCAGGTGTTGTAGCTGATGTTCAGAGGCATGATTTTACAGTTTACATTAGGGAATTGTTGTTTGTTAAGCCGTTATTGACCACTAGTGTTCGTGTTGTGCATGCTACGTTATTGTTGGTTTGTTAAGGTTAGGGTTTCCCTGCTTAGTTCCTCCTCCGCAGTGTGGGACATAGACGTATTTATGTATACAGTTCGTACTGTATCATTACTCGTTATTTAAGTTGTTTATTAATAGGTGTTGGTTTTAGTCGCTGTAGTTGTAGCCTCGCTCGGTCTGCCCCGTACTAGGCCCATTAGTTGGGGGAGTGCGTTACTGGCCTAGTCGGGACCCCTGTGGAGCCCTTAGGTTGGCGTGGCCGCCGTGTTAGCGGGCTAATTGTCCTGCGACGTATTACTTTGGAATGAGTATTTGTTGCTTTTCCCTATCCTTGTAGTGGTTGTCTGTGTTTGACATATTGTTAGTGAAAAGTTCGTTATATTTGTAAGGTGGTAGTTATTGGTTGTGAATGTATGTGTGTGTATATATGTATATTCAATAGTTGCTACACTAATTGATAGTACTGTCATTCATTGTATTAATCGCATCTTGTCCGTAGTAATTTATTATGAGTCATTGAGTGTTTGTTACTATTTTCGTCCTTATTTGTGTTATTTGCATATATTAAATAAAAAAAATAGTTGACATTTAGGGATCCCTAGCGTGTTTGGTGTCCATTTCAGTTTAAGATCTCGGGATGTGAGGCAAAGTTGTTGGGGTACTGCTGCTCGCAGAATGGTGATTGACAGTGACCGAAGTCTTTACGCCTGTTAAGGGAGTTTGTTCGGGTAACTATTCAGCTGTAACATGCTTTGGGAGGCCAACATACACTGTAGATAACTGTAAGTGACTGTAACCATCGTTATAATTTGTCACTGTGGACGCATGCATGTTGCAGTTGCGCGTTAAGAGCTTTTTGTTAGATTTGAAAGATGGTTTTATTTATATATTCTGATATTATATACATAGTGGTCATAAAAGTATTGATTGTTGTTTATTTATAATATTGTAATTGATTAGTTAGAAAATAAATATTTGTTGCTAGATGCCTCCGCCTTGAATAATTTGTGCCCTTGACGCAGATACGGTAATTGTTCCCCCCCCCCCTTGCACCAAGGTTTGTTTTCGTTGTGCGGGTTTTACCCGCTAAAGTTCTGCTCGGGTTGGTAGTTACCTTAGTTCGCTAGAGAGTATTTTCCTGGAAGATCATTTTGTGTTCCTTTCCCCTCTAAGTGACTCCTTTCCCGTGTGCCAGTGTTCTCAGCTGTCACGGGCTGCTTCCTGGGGGTGGAGGCGTGGTCGAGGACCGGGCCGCGGGGACACTAAAGCCCCGAAATTATCTCAAGATAACCTCCTTTTAGAAAGTCATTGCAGCAGTACCCTTAAGGGTTAGGTTCCTTGGCCGTCACGTTCATACTGCATGGCCGTTTCTGCCCACCCTTACTGCCTTAATACTTGCAGAACCGAGTACGGAAGGAGGACGAGGTACACCATTGATGAAGAAGGAAAAGGGATGGAGGGCGAGGGCAAGACTACTGCGGCCATGAGGTGGACACACATTCCTAGTTACAGCGGCCAGCCGAGGCGTTCGCCCTTGTGCGTGCTCCGTCGGAACCCCCAAAGTGATCAGGCCGCAGATATCTACGAAATAATCGCATGAAATGTAATTAGTGTAATGAAATAAATGCAACTTTCATATACTATGTATAGATTGTTAAGTTAGAATTGATTAGTACTTTATAATGAATGATCATTATAGGTTAATACTTTATTGTTAAGTAGTAGTCAATAAATAGTTATCAATCATGGTAAATAGCTATTTTAATAATTGAAAATAATTGCTCATTATAATATATAATAATGAACTAATATATTATTTAGCACTATAAAATAAAGAAGTGGCTGTTTGGTTGCAAGGTCCGAAAAATAACTTTATAGTATTGATAAATATTATATATTATTAAAAACATATAAATATATAATATTTATAAATATTTTATATATAAAGATAAATAAATTAATATATTAATAAAGCGTTTAACGTTCTGTAGTGACAAATGTTAAAGTAAAACTGTATAGAGAAATACAATAGAAAATAGATATAATACCTTTGATTGTAAAATGTTTGCTTTCTGGTCACTTGGACAATAGTTAGTGTGTTGGGAGAGTCTGTCTGAGAAAAGCTTGTATTTATGACCTCTCCGTCACATTCCGTTAGTTTGATTATGAAACATTGAAGAAAGTAGACAGAATATTATCTTGAAGCGTTAATGTGTTTAGTGTGGTTGATGTACACTAATATAGTACTATCTAAGAGTATATGAAGGTGAAAAGTTACAACAATCAATTTTATTTGTACTCTGAAATTGTGCGGCGGGAATGGGTAGAAATACCCTAAGGTACTCGTGAGTTTGTTAATATTATTTGGTTAACTTGTTTAAAATAACATAGTTCAAGTTTAATACATCGTGTTGTTTGTAGTGTCAAGGTATTTAAGTTTCTATAGTTATCAATAAGTAGTTGACCAGTTAAAATTGTTTGGATGTGTGATATCATTATACCTCTGAGCTACAAGAATTTTGGGCCACATTTATATGCTGTGGTTACTATATTAAACAGGAATCTTATATTTGCAGTGAGTGAATGTGTGCGGGCCCTTGAGGTTCTGCAAATCGATTGGAATCGAAATACCGTAAACTAGTGTATCGAATTTAGATGTATTTAATATTTTGTCTCAATAAACATAATTGAATTGAAGGTTGTTTTTTGATTATTTGTTAAAAACCTGTTGTCACCGGTGACTACAAAACACATGTACGTATGTATATAAACGTGCTTAGATTGAAAATAAATAATATTAAAGAATAGTAGTGAAACAAATATTTATGAAATAATATTTATTGACTATTAACCAGTATATTATAATAAAACAAGAAATAATATAACATTGAAGAATATTCTTCAATATTCATATTCTTCAGTACTGAAGAATATGAATATTCTTCAATATTAATAATTTTATTGAATATTCTTCAATATTCATTGTTATTACTCTAAACTATAAAAACTTCTTAAAGTAAATAATTCTTGTTTATAGTTTTTAGATTAAAACATTAATTATAATAATGATTTCTCTAAATATCACTGTTACTAGTGGATTTGTCTCTACGAATACATCAACTCCCAAACGTCTTCAATGATTGAAAAAGAACGTTGTGAGAGAAATGACCATCAATCAAAGCACGTTTATATACACATACGTACATGTCACCTGTGACGAAAAACAAGACAAAACACGTTGATACAAACAATTAAACAAAACAAATACTTCATTTCAAGTATGTTTATTGACAATAATATTTACTTATACAACGGATACAGTAGTTTAAGGTATTCCTACTCCACTCTACTTCCACAACCTCAATAATGGCCAACAATTTCACACTACAAATCCTGTTTCATATAGTAACCCCACAATATAAATGTTGGACTCATGGGACACAAGTATTGTACCTCCGAGGTATACTCTCATCAAAACAATTTTAAGTCCTACACTACTTATCAATAACTATAGAAACTTAATGTATTTTCGAGTGTTAAGATATTTATGTATTCAACTTCCACTATGTTATTTGAGACCAGTTAACAAAATAGTCAAAAAAAATTCACGAGTACCTTAGGGTATTTCTAACCATTAACCCCCCCCCCCCCCCCAAAAAAAAAAAAAAACATTTCAATGAGTACAAATACAACAATCAAATTTTACTTTTTACGTTAATACACTACTATCTATGAGTATATTATTGTTCATCCACCCAACTAAAATGTATTCCATTAACGCTCAAACATTCTTCTCACTACTTTCTTCCATGATTAATAATAACACTATCTATGCCCTCTCCGTCACAGTCCGTGTGATACTGTGTTTGGAGACTGGAGACTGTCTCAGAAAATCTCGTAACTATTACTACTGAGGACAAATAAACAAAGTTTCAAACGTATTATCCATACCTATTTCAATTTGTATGTCTATACACTTTTACTTGAACGTTGTGTAAGTAACATGTTGAAACAAATGTTCAACGCTAACACTACTCGAAAGCATTTTTTTTTTCTGAAGTTCGCAGAAAACGTGCTCAGATTCCCCACTTATTTCATTTTTAATGCTAAATATTTTTATTTAGTCTATTATTATATCTTATTATATATTTATTACTATAATTATTACCTATTTGATTCCTTAACAATATTTGCTCATTAACATGATTTCAATAATTATTGACTAGTGGATAACAATAAAGTATTATGGAATATTTATTATGATTAGTCCTTATCAATTACAATTAAAACCCACATATATAGGTAGTCATTTAAACTGGCATTATTTTATTTACACTATTTACAGTTCCCATATCAATGATATTATTTCTTAGCTATCTGCAAGTAAGTAAGTAAGTAATTATCAAAAGAAGGCACCAAACCGGGAAGGCTATGTAGCACCATCAAATACGCAAAATAATCAGAGGGCGCTAAATATCACCAAGGATGCCAATACGAGAACAAAAACGCATAAGGCGAACGATATCAAAAGTATCCGAGTCACCAAGAATTCTATCGAGGGACAGGTGACCGCGAGGGGCGGTCGGAAAGCAAGACACACGCTCGTCCTGGAAGTCAGGACATTCAAGAAGGACATGCACGACCGTAAGAGGGACAATGCAACTAGGACAATAAGGAGCAGGGCGGCGCTCCATCAAGTGACCATGGGTTAAGCGAGTATGGCCAATACGCAACCTCGCTAGAGCTGTTTCCCACCGCCGGTTACGGTGGAAGGAGGACGGCCACGAGGAAACACAACATTTAAGAGTACGTAGCTTGTTACCAGTAACAGACAACCAAGAAGCCTGCCAACGGGTAAGGACTAAGGAATGGATAACCGGGTAAAAGTCGGAATACGGAACGCCTTTACGAGAGATGGGACAAGAGCGGACAGCTTCCTTAGCGGCAGCATCCGCACGCTCATTTAAAGACACGCCAATATGGCTGGGAACCCAACAAAACTCAACCGACTTAAATTTACTGTGAACGAGAAACAGCCAATGCTGGATCTCGACAACTACCGGATGAACTGGATTAAAGCACCCGAGAGCCATGAGGGCACTACGAGAGTCAACAACAACCACAAAGGAAGACTGACAACGAGAAAGCAGGAGACGAAGAGCATAGAGAATAGCATAAAGTTCCGCTGTAAAGATGCTAGTCTCCGGAGGCAAGCGACACATATAAGTGCGATCAGGAAAAACAACAGAGTAGCCAACACCGTCCGCTGACTTAGACCCATCGGTGAAGACAGAAACGGAGCGGGAGTGAGAAGAAAAGTGCTCGAGGAAAAGGCGTTTTAGAACTGTAGGAGGGGTAAAAGCTTTAGTGATACGAGTCAAGGATGTACAAAACCGCGGAAGAGGGACCCTCCACGGGGGCAAAGAAGGAACAACACGAGGAGAAACATCAGAAATACGAACGGAAAGAGAATCCTGCAGGCGAGATAACCGGACAGAAAGAGGGAGGTGGTGAAGAGGAACAGGAACCGCAGGAGGGGTAAAAGTTAAAGCACGACAGAGACGAGAGGAAGGATGTTGCAAGGACCGCGCAAGATAGCGAAGACAGTAGCGATCACGGCGGTCCTGGAGAGACAGGAAGCCAGTGTCAACATACAAGCTAAGGACGGGAGTCGAACGAAAGGCACCAGAACTGAGGCGCAACCACTGGGTTGCGCCTCAAAGCATCAAGACGGCGAAGAGTAGAAGGAGAAGCAGACGAGTAAGCAGGGCAACCATAATCGAGCTTAGACAGGACGAGAGAGGAATGTAAAGCAAGGAGAGTGCGCCTATCTGCCCCCCAAGAAGTATGGGACAAGACCCGAAGGAGGGTAAGGGACTTAGAGCACTCAACACGGAGGTAAGAGATATGGGGAGACCAAGACAAACGAGTGTCAAGGAATAACCCCAAAAGCTTCGCGGAATCTTTGTATTCAAGGGGATGACCATAAAGTGACAAAGAGGGACGAAGAACAACCCGTTTCCGCGTAAAAGTCATGGCACAAGTCTTAGAAGTAGAGAACTTGAAGCCATGACCTGTGGCCCAAGACGACACGGCATCAATCGCAAGTTGAAGCCGGCGTTGAAGGAGAGGCGAATCATCACCCTGACAACAAAGGGTAAGATCATCGACATAGAGAGCGGAGAAGACACCAGAAGGAAGAGAGGAAAGAAGACCATTGAGGGCAACCAGAAAAAGAGTAGTGCTCAGAACACTACCCTGGGGCACACCTTCGTATTGCTGAAAAGAGGGAGAGAGAGCGGTACCAAGGCGCACCCGAAAGGAACGACGAGAGAGGAAGCTGCGGAGAAAGAGAGGGAGATGACCACGAAGGCCAAAAGAATGAAGTTGAGATAGGATATGATAACGCCAAGTGGTGTCGTAAGCCTTTTCTAGGTCAAAAAGGACGGCAACAACGGAGGTCTTCGCAGCAAAAGCAGTACGTATATAGACCTCCAAGTTCACCAGGACATCTGTCGTGCTGCGGCACTTGCGGAAACCAAATTGAGAAGGGGAAAGGAGGTGATGGTGTTCCAGGAACC